CTTCTGCCAACTTTCAATTGGATAAAATAGGAACAGCTCACGGAGAGACTTTGACATTTATGAATTATAGCCTCAGGCACATCGTTATGATGTAATATTTCTCTCAAAGGCAGCGATTTTATGGAGGGGAAAGTAGCTGAGGAGAGGTGGCGGCTGCAAGTAGAATTGTTTACTTCAGACTGACACTTCTGTGAGGGAGGACGAGAGAGAGAGCCAGACAGAGAGAAGGAGAGAGATATGGGTGTGCAAGGAAAGGAAAGAAAGAAAAAAAAAACTTTTAAGTAGTATCCTTAGGCGAGGAACAGTGTTAAGTGTTCCCTTAGATTTCAAAGTGGGAATGAATGGTTGATTCTCTTTGAAAAACGAGTTTCCATGGCAACTGAGCCTTTATTTCATATTTGCTGGCACAGGTAGCTAAACAGCAGATGCGAGGAAGACGAGGCATTCAGACCACAGAGGAGTCGGTCGACCACTAAAACCCTGGCGCCAGACAGGGTCCAAAGACAAACGGTCTTTCACCGATTCACCCTGATTGTCCGTACCTCCTGCTCATCCGTTTCCCGTTTCATCTCTGACAACAGATCAATGCTTTCACTTTCATCCGGTATAGGTAAAAGAGCAAGACCTTCAAATCAGTCCTGCGCTCGTTTTGTTGAGGTTTTTTCCAGCTTAAAGTGTGAAGTGAAGTGTGACACGGCAGCCGTACCCTGAAGCGATGTTCTCACCGTGCTTTACATCATCGGCTTGCCTTATGAATACACAATATGCAAAATGTACCTGAGCTCTAGTGACGGCGGGATGTCAGGCGAATACATAATGACAGTAATAGAGAGGGGGGTGGGGAAGCGGGAAATACCAGATGTCCATCTTTGCTGCTAGTAAAAGGGGGTTTTGGGTGGGTTTGACAGGCTGGTTTAATGAGGTGAGAGAGAGGATGGGACGACGCGTCGATGTAATCGATAGCAGAATTAACACATTGACACGTGGACTGTTTACTTTCAGCCATTTTCTCTGCACAATTAAGCGCCTGAGATCTGCAAGTCAACTATGATTAATCTCGGGGTCACTTCCACTGTCTCTTTCTATTTCCACATAAAGCCTGTGTTTATAACTCCACGTGTCTAAGTGGTGTGTAGACAACACATAAGTGTGTTGTGTCTGCATGTCTACTGGTGGTCATGGTGCTATGGTAAATGCCATTGATAGTTGCTTTAGTGTAGTTGCCTTTTGTAGTTTGCGGGGTTGATGGTCAGTTAGGGTTTAGGTGGGAGAGTTATGCTGAGGTTGATGATGTTTAGGGCTTGAGACCAAATGGAGTTGACACTATATGCTAATGATACCTTTTGGGTGTGATGTCTCTTTTAGGATGAGGGCATATGAAGTTCTTCAAAGTGAAATTCTTCAAAGATGATTCCTTGGATTTATTCAATTTTTTCAAGTTAAGTGGTTGTAAACAATTTATTTAGGCTGAATTTAAACAAACAAATTAAGTTGAACATTATTAAACTTAATTTGTTTGTTTAAATTCAACAAAAATAAATTCTTTGTAACAGTTTTGCATGCCACACTTTTTTCAGGGTAGTAGGATTATTCATTCATTCATTCAGTGTTCTTTTCAGGTTAGTCCCTTTATTAATCAGGGGTCGCCACAGCGTACTGAATCACCAACTTATATTTAACTTATATTCAACTCATTTTTAACTTATATTTAACTAGAAAATTTGCATTTCCCAGTGATGGATGTAATCCATTACTGGGAAATATTTGAACACACTCATACACTACGGACAATTTAGCTAATCCGATTCACCTATAGTGCATGTATTTGGACTTGTAGGGGAAACAGGAGCACCCAGGGGAAACCCACGCCAACATGGTGAGAACATGCAAACTCCACAAAGAAATGCCAACTGAGCCAGCCGGGGCTTAAACCAGTGACCTTGATGTGAGGTGATCGTGCTATTCACTGCGCCACCGTTACGCTGGTTAAAGCATTAGTTCACCCAAAAACTAAAATTATTTTATTAATTACATCTCGTTTCAATCCCTGGAGACCATCTTTCATCTTTTGAACATGCATTAAGATATTTTAGATCAAATATGAGAGCTCTCTCTCTCTCACATTATTGATATTAGAGTCAGCAATGCAACACTTCAGTCTACAATTGCTCATTGTAAATGTGTACCATAATCTGATGTACAGTTTTTGGCACACAAATTTGGTGATTGAGCTTCATATAATTGCAGTTGAACCACAGAAGTCACCTTTTTACAATGTTTTTGGTTCCTTTTCTGGACTTTGAACATATTGTGACCCTAGCTGTCTATGGGGGATGAGGGAGCTCTCAGAATTAATCTAAAATGTCTTAAATTGTGTTCAGGTGATGAATGAATGTCTCGGGGAGGTTGTAATGACAACGAGGGTCAGTACTTGACTGAATTTTCATTGTTGGGTGAACTAATTCTTTCATCTAAACTGAAATTGATACATTCTTGGGCATTTACAAGTGAAGCACTTACAAGTGATGACGTGTTAGGCTGCTCCCAGTTTAAGTTGACGTCTTTGTGGATTTAAAGTCCCACTAATTGATTGATAGTGTTTTTACTTAATAATATTTGGTTCAAGTTCAAACCAACTGAGGTTGGAGCATTCTTAACCCTGTACCACATGGTGTTGACATATGGCAACATGATATTATGTTCATTTCCTTGTCACCTTTTCTTTATCACCAACATTAAGTTTTATTTATTTATTTTATTTTTTTTTTGTTAGAAAGGGAATACCTTAGTGTAGCCAATGGTGTGCTTTGGCTAAGCGACATGACCTGCAATGTTTTATCTATGGCACGATTTCTGAAAGACTGGCGTTTATTGTGAGTAGTTGCTGAATGCAAATGTAAACGTCAATAAAAACAAAGGATCAAATTATGTCAGATCCACAAACAAATGTGAAACATCACCTCTAGTAAGTTATGGTGACATATTTGCAACAACTTTTTTTTTTTATATCAAATTAGTGGTCAGCTCTGAACTTTTAAGTTGTAACAATAACAAAATGAATGCTGGTAATATAATGTTGATTAGTTGTATGTTAATGGCATTTGCATTATGGATAAAATCTACTTTTAATGGCAATACTAAATTTGAATAGATATTAATACAGGGAACACAGTATTAGCGAGCACCACCATGTTCTATAGTAAGTCAAACAGGAAAAGGACAGAACTGGCTCCTCCTGCAGATGAAAGTGAGGATGAAATCGGTTTTAGTGACCATGAGAATGATGCAGACTGAACATTTAATAGAGAGAGTTCAGGTAAGTTAGCTCAGAGGCAGATAAGACAGGTGTAGTATAGTATAGAGTATAATTTATAAACATTGTTAGCTAGTAGCTACATTATTCTGATGCATCTCAATATATTAGACTTGTTTTATATTTGTTATAATTTGTTATAGTTTACTGGAGAAAATGTATGTTGTAAAAATGAATCAACAATATTATGATTGGTTTTAATAATATTCAGCAAAAACTATGGAATAAATGAAAGCTGTTGGAATATGAGTTGTTGGAAAGTATGTACAAGTCATTTAAAAGTTCTGTGTTAAAGCTTATAATACTGCCACACCAATTAAATAATTTCAAACAACAAAATTAAATATAAGGAAAGTTTTAAATTTGAAATTTCTAAGTTGGATCCACTGTTGGACGTTGTTGCCATTTGGCAACATATAATAAAGTACCTTAAAAAATATATGTTTTCCAATTTTTTACAGCACTTCAAGTTAAGCCATTTTTAGAAAAGAAAACAGTCAAATATAGATATTTTTATAGATTTATCATAATGTGTGCGGTAGACGGTTAAAGCCTTCTTTGTTTGTAAATGAAGCTTGGGAGTTTTGATGTAAATGCAGTTTTGACTGTGTATTTGGTCATTTTTAAACAATTTTGTGGAAGTTGATGCCCTTACGAGGTTAAAGTGGGCAGGAAACGGAAGTTAAAATTGTCTTTTTCCACTCTATCATGACAAATGTATTTGAAACGTAGGTTAGTTTGTGATTTTGTAATTTCGGAACTGATAGGCATGTTGGAAGATGGGTGTTGCTGACAAAATGAAAGAAAATTAATTAATGGATGAAGGAAGAGCAGAAAGCAATAAGACACATACTGATAGCCCCTCCGTAAAGGCATTTTATGTGACCAGAAGTGAAGAAAAGTCATTTTGAGGGGGGGTGAAAAGATTATGATATTTGATTAAAGAATCTGAGGGCATTTTGATCTTGATCCAACTTTAAGGCTGATGCTATTGAGCCTCTCAATAGTTTATAGCATTTTTATTTTATACAACCAATCCTAACTGAGACTGATCTCTTGGGTTCAAAGCTGTTTGCAGTTAATGTTGAAAAACGTACATCACTGATGACATATCAGGATTGATAAAGTTTCACGATTGATGACATTTCTGGGTTGATGCAGATTTCAGACAATCCCATTTTGGGGGTTGAGGCCATCTGCAGTTGAAAGGATTTTGGGTTTGTTGCGGTTTAGTTTGCATCATCTTGGGATCTGGACAACTCGGTTCTCACAGATGGACCGGTCTGATGATGTCTGGTCTGGGAAGTCCTTTCGTTTTTTTCCCTTCCATCCTTCCTTCTCCCTTTCCATCTCTCCTCCCATCCCATCCAACCATCAGCGGCTCACTCCTTGGCATCCTCTATCTCATCCCTCTCAGCTTCTTGGCAACATCAGATTAGTTGCTTCCGAAGAGCATTTCCCGTAAATGTAGCCTACTTTAGATCCAGGATTAGCTGCCAGTGATTCAATAAAGGGCTTTTTTTTTGCGGATAACAGTAAATGTTGGTTTTGCAGTTTGGTACAGGACAGTATGCGATGGCGTGGGTACACACATACAGTGTTATCAAAAGAGCCAAATTATCCCTAAGGGATGAGGTTATTATTTCACAACTGTGTGTGTCCACAAATTAGCATAACAAAGACTCACCTCTGCCATTTTGGCAAGCTCGGTCCAATCAGCTTTGTTGTAGCTGCACATTATGCTGGATATGACAATCTATGGGGGAGAGAAGACAGATAGAAAATGAGAGAGATTTCAGCATGAACGAGTTTTCTTTGTCTCACCTTGTGGCCTTTAGCAGAGGCCCGTTTCATTGTGTACAAAAGGTTTCCCCATCAAGGTCCCATTTCGGCACATTATAAAATGGATCTGGAGGCCATTATCTTGTCTTTAAAAAGCAGCAGCCTCCTTCTTCTCAAGCCTCAAAGTCACAAAATCAATATTTATAATTCACAAGACCAGGACAAATCCACTGTCGTGCTGCCATTATTAAAACAGTATCAAGCCCCAGAGCAGGGTGTTAGATAAGAGCATTTGCTGGATTAGCCTGCACTGTTTGTTGTTTCCTTCCTTCGGACACACAATAAGCCAGTCATAAAACAGGTTACGGAAGGTCTGTGTTTCAAAAACAACTCCTGGTTTTCAGTAATCACGGACATAAAAAGCTTTTGAAACTGCACCGAGCGCACCATAGCTCCAATTCTCCCGAGATGGACTTTCTGCCCACACTTGCTAGTGGAAAGAGTAGCTACCAGGTCAACATTTCAGCACACCGGGTCCCTCATCTTGATTTTTCTCCAGGAAAAATCTAACCGTGTTAACCGCATATGTGGCCGCACTCTATTATGTGCCTAATAGCTGCAGAGATGCTGGAGAAAAACCCTGCAATGAAGGCCAGCCTATCTTGTGCTACCTGGTCCAACAATGCGATTACATCTAAACTCTTGTCTCATCAGATGTCCATGACTTACACTCGCTGCTGATGAGGTGGAGGTGGGCGGCACGGGGGACGGGGAAGATTGGTGCTAACAACAGGAGAACAGAGTCCGGGGAGACTCGGAGAAAACTGATTTCATGGGAGGATATTAAACTTGGAGGCTGTGTTGTCCCCCCGGGACAAATTTCCGCTAGATATAAATCTCTCGGGCATTACGCTTTCCCAAAAGCAGCAGGCAGTTAGGCACTAAGCTTAGCCCACCTACATGAGAGCAGAAAATATTGCCAAGTTTTAGGGGGCAAATAAAGTTAAGCACTCTGACATTTACTGCAGAGATTTACAGTACAACACTGACATATAAGTGATATTTGATACACCCTGAAATAGTGTTTGGTAATATTACCATAAACCTCAGGCCATCGGAGAGCAGTTTCTAAAGAAGAAGAAGGAGAGATCAATGCTGCAGGCTTCATTCCGGGTATTATACGCAATATGTGAGTATTCTGTTTTGATTTGGGCCTGACCTTTGCTTGCTCTAACGTCACGTTATTGCAGAACGGCCCTAGAGAAGCCGGAGAGGGATCTAGTTTTAAGTTTATTAACACCAATCCTGCCTGAGCCCCCCTGCTGGAGCGTCACATTAACCGGTGCCGGGGCTGCAGGGTTTGAGGAAGATCTGGGATTACCTGGTTATAAGCTCAATAACCTCTCTCCGGGCGAGCCCACCTTACACTCTAACAATGTGTCTCCATGGAGATGAGTCACCTGGAGGCCAAATAAGAACATGTGGAGCGATGATTCCGGCCGATTCTCTAATGCTGCGCTGTGACCGTTTTCTAATAACCTGGAAAAAATGGAGGAGCTGATAACGGCAAACCACAATTTGTCCAGTTTGACGCTATACTGGCTGTAGCAGCATCCTTATGAGGTTACTTTTTTGCGGGAATTGAAAGAGAACATTTTAGCGCAGTGGGTGGAAGGGTTTGGTAACTGTTGACTTTCAATGCATGATAACTGTGAAAGCTCACCACCCTGACCTCTCTCACTCACGCTGACAAACTTAATGAAAGAAACTGTAAACACGCTTACAAGCAGAAAAGAATATGTTTACGTGAAAACAGGGATGTATAGGTTTACAAATGGAGAAAATATGGGTAGCAGTTTATTTTATACTTGAGTTACACATTTATAGACTACTGTTGTATAATATCTGGTTCATAACTAAGTGCGATCCCTGAAACTACCAGCAAATTTAACCTTAAAGTCTGTGACTTCAAATTTGACGTTTATTTTGCAAGCGCTTGTTCTTATTCATTAGATAATCTGCTGAAAATAGTTTCACGGTTTCTTTTATTTTTAACCAAAATTCAATTTAACAACTCAATTTAGACATTCAAGGCAATTCGTTACATTTTGATTTAGTGGCTAATTCATATCTCATTTGTACAATTTAGTAGAATTTGCTTATCTCCCAATGACGGTTGGGTTTAGGGGCAGGGTTTGATGTCAAGTCTCCTTTTTAAAATCGTTAATTTTCGTATGACTGAAATTGTACAAATTCGTACGAATTAGCCACTAATCTGACAAAATGGAAATAAAAAAATTTACGTATCCTCGTGAGATCAAACTAGTCAAGAAGATCCAGCGAATTTCAAACCAAGCTTCAGAATGGCTCAATAACTAGGTACTAACCCTAAAACATAAATTTACCCAATGTAGTTACCTTATGTCATACAGTATTTTCACAGATACAGTTGAAGTCAGAATTATTAGCCTACCTGAATTATTAGACCGTTTAACGGAGAGATTTTTTAACACATTTCTAAACATAATAGTTTCAGTAACTCATTTCTAACAATGTAATTATTTTATCTTTGCCATAATGACAGTAAATAATATTTGATTAGATATTTTTTCAAGACACTTCTATACAGCTTAAAGTGACATTTAAAGGCTTAACTAGGTTAATTAGGTTAACCAGGCAGGTTAGGGTAGTTATAGGCAAGTTATTGTATAACAATGGTTTGTTCTGTAGACTATCAAAATAATGTTAATGCTAATAATTTTGTCCTTAAAATAGTTTTAAAAAAATTAATAACTGCTTTTATTCTAATTAAAATAAAACAAATAAGACTTTCTCCAGAAGAAAAAATATTATCAGACATACTGTGAAAATGTCCTTGCTCTGTTAAAAATAATTTGGGAAATATTTAAAAAAGAAATATCAAGGGGGGGGGGGGGGGGGGGGGGGGGGGGGGGGGGGGTTGGGGGTAATAATTCTGACTTCAACTGAAGGAACAAATGTTAGCACACACATTGTAAAATACTGTTAAGTGCAACCAAATATATAGATCGGATATTTTGTTTGATGAAAAAAAATAGGCTTTCAGTTCCTGTACAAAAAAATAAAGTGCCTATTTTGTCTATTAAGCTTAAACGATTAAAGCATGACGATTTAAGCACTTAAGCCTATAAAATAAATTCATTCATTCATTCATTCATTTTCCATCGACTTAGTCTCTTATTTATATGGGGTCACCACAGTGGAATGAACCGCCAACTATTCCAGCATATATTTTAAGCAGCAGATGTTCTTTTAGCCACAACCTAGTACTGGGAAACACCCACACACTCTCGCATTCACACAAACTCATACTCTATGGCCAATTTAGTTTATTCAATTCACCTATAGCGCCTGTCTTTGAATTGTGGGGGAAACTGGAGCACCTGGAGGACATCGGGAAAACAGCAAGAAGGTCACTGGTTCGAGTCTCGGCTGGGTCAGTTGGAGTTTCTGTGTGGAGTTTGCATGTTCTCCCTGTATTCATGTGGGTTTCCAACCAGGGGTTTCGGTTTCCCCCACAAGTCCTCACAAATAGATGAATTGGGTAAGCTAAATTGTCTGTAGTGTATGTGTGTGAATGAAAGTGTATGGGTATGCAGCTGGAGGGACATCCACTGTGTAAAACATATGCTAGATAAGTTGGTGGTTCATTTCGCTGATTAATAAAGTGAAAGTAAATGGTGAAGTAAGTTTTATGTTTGGGTGAACTTTCCCTTTATGAGTCTGAATGCTCTCAAAACAGCACTTTTACTGCGTGTTCAAATTACAGTTGAACAAACTGAATTGATACATTTTTGGGGACAATTTATTTGTTTTTTGTTCAATCAACTTAAATTTGTAAAAATATTGAGTTGAATTAATCAATTTGTGTTGTGAAAAAAAGGAACTGTGTGGTTGGAATAATGTAGAACCCATAATTTTTTCTAATTTTATCAGATTATTTCACAAACTGCAAATCACTACTAAGATTTTCACGCACAATGTCTAGGGCAGGGTGACGCAGTGGCGCAATAGTTAGTGCTGTCGCCTCACAGCAAGAAGGTCGCTGGGTCGAACCTCAGCTCATATGGCGTTTCTTTGAGGAGTTTGCATGTTCTCCCTGCGTTCCCGTGGGTTTCCTCCATGTGCTCCGGTTTCCCCCACAGTCCAAAGACATGCGGTACAGGTGATTTGGGTAGGCTAAATTGTCCATAGTGTATGAGTGTGTGTGTGTGTGTGGAGGTTGCGACTGGATGGGCATCCGCTGCGTAGAAACCTGCAGGATAAGTTGGCAGTTCATTCCACTGTGGCGACCCTGGATTAATAAAAGGACTAAACCGACAAGAAAATGAATGAATGTCTAGGGCAGGGGTGCCCAAACTCAGTCCTGGAGGGCTGGGGTTTAGTTCCAAACCCAATTAGGCACACCTGGTTAAGCTAATCAAGCTCTTACTAGGCTTCCTAGAAACATCCAAGCAGGTATGTTGAGGTAAGTTGGATGAATTACAAAATGACAACTCATTTGGACAACTCAGTTGGAGCTAAAATTTGCAGGACACCAGCCCTCCAGGACCAAGATTGAACACCGCTGGTCTTGGGTTTACACAGAATTGTCTGAAAGAGGGTTAAAAAAAAGTACAGTCTTTCTATTTCAGAAAATAGAGACCAAAAATATCCTACACTCACGGCACACCAGCTGAACTTCCTGTTTTACAGGAAATACGCTCGTCAACGCATTTCTTGGAGTGTCTAAAGCAGCACAGAACATCTCAGCTCAGCCGGGCACTTAAAAGGAGCTTCTGTCTCTCTACTCTCTCTTCACTTTGTTTCAGAAAGAAGCGATACATCTCTGCTGCTTTCATCCTCAGTACAAAAGCCGCCCCAGTGAATGCTGGGCATCACTTCCATTAGTGCTGCCCATGATTGCCGTCAGAATGTCCTGCAGAAATCAATTAATCCTTTGATATTTCTTGAGCACAAAAAAAAGAAACCCAGATACAAGAATCTCAGAAGTGAACAAATGAGTTGTCATTTTGTAATTTCAGCGAGCATATGCCGCTCCTGCTGTACCGACACAACGGCAGAATTGAAGAGGAAAAAAAAAAAGGACTTATGGATGGAGCTAGCTCACATCATAAATATTTGGATTTCATTAACAAACATGAGGATCACATTACTATGAATAATAAATGGAACAATGAGAAATGAATATTGAAATGGTATTCAAATTTTATGACTTGAGAAGCCAAACCGACTGAGGAAAAATTGAAAATAACTAGCTACCACCGAGAGTCCCATGCAGATTTTACCAAAGACGAAGACCTCCTTCCACGCACGGTGAGGACGAGATTAGAAATAACAATTTTCTCTTCTCAACATGTTCATGTCATGTGTGTTTTCATGTTCATTAATGTCGGAATAAAACAGCAGCTGGTCTGGTTTAAGACTCGAATACTGGATGAATGTTCTTACACCTTGTTGGACAAGCCACGGCTTCATAAAAATCACAAGTCAAACTATTTTGTGCTGTCAACAATGTCAGATGTCATGACATTTTGAAATACTAGAGGATCCATTTTTTGATGTTAAAATCTTGACTGAAACTTAAATTCATATCTTTATTACAATTAAATGTGACCCTGGAGAACAAAATCAGCTAATATTATGTCCCATGAAGATTATTTACGTATTTTTGACTATAAATATACTCATCGACCACTTTATTTGGTACACCTCACTAGTACCGGGTTGGACTCCCTTTTGCCTTCAGAACTGCCTTAATCCTTCGTGCCATAGATTCAACAAGGTACTGGAAATATTCCTCAGAGATTTGGTTTCATATTGTAATAATAGCATCACACAGTTGCTTCAGATTTGTTGACTCCACATCCATTATGCAAATCTCCCATTTCATCACATCTCAAAGGTGCTCTATTGGGTTGAGATCAGATGATTTTGGAGGCCATCTGAGTACAGCATGATAACTCATTGTTAAAACCAATCTGAGATGATTCATGCTTCATGACATGGCGCTTTAATCTGCTGGGAGTAGCCATCAGAAGATGGGTACACTGTGGTCGTAAAGGGATGGACATGGTCAGCAATAATAATCAGGTAGTCTGTGGCCTTGACACGATGATCAATTGGTACTAATGGGCCCAAAACGTGTATAGACAATATCCCCCACACCATTACAACGCCACTACCACCACCAGCTTGAACCATTGATACGGAAGGATGGATCCATGCTTTTATGTTGTTAATGCCAAATTCTGACCCTTCCATCTAAATGTTACAGCAGAAATCGAGACTCATCAGACCAGGCAACGTCTTTCCAATCTTCAATTGTCCAACTTTGGTAAGCCTGTGTGAATTGCCTTAGTTTTCTGTTCTTAGCTGACAGGAGTGGCACCCGGTGTGGTCTTCTGCTGCTGTAGCCCGTCTGCCTGAGGGTTGGATGTGTTTTGCGTTCAAAGATGCTCTTCTGCATACCTCAGCTGTAACGAGTGGTTATTTAAGTAACTTCTATTTGAGTCTTGCCATTCTCCTCTGACCTTTGGCATCAACAAGGAATTTGCACTGCCACTCAATGGACATTTTCTCTTTCAGACAATCCTCTGTGAACCCTCCCTTCCACAAAAGTCTTCACTGAGCCTTGTATGTTTGCACTATTAAAGTCACATGGAATGTTTTGACAAAATCTTGGCTCCTTTTCTAAACTTTTGAATTTGAATTTTTCTGGAGTATTGCTGTCTATGGAGGAATATAAAACTCCCTGATTTCATGCAAATATCTTCATTTGTGTTATTAATCTGAAGAATAGAACACAAACTGAAGAATTCTCATTTTTGGGTGAACTAATCCCTTTAACACACTGTGAAAAAAAACTGCTGGGTTCCACACAATTCCTTGATGTTATCCCAACACAAACTGATTAAGTTTACTTCATTGTTTTTACAAATTTAAGGGGATTGAACACAAAAACAATCAAGTCGTCCAAAAAAGCTCAAGAGTTTTGTTGTTTCAACTCATTTATATAATTAGTTTGAACAAGCAGCAAAGGTCAGTATTATTAAGTGCACAAACTAAAATGTTTGTGTGAAATTGCTGTAGCATCTGTTAATTAACAGGTTCTGTATTTTAGATTTACATGGGTTCTCTGTGCAATTACAGTTGTGAATTGCATTATGGGAGTTTTATTTCTGCTCTGCCGTCTTTTGATGTTAAAAAAATTCAACTCTGCAGTTTTAACAAAGTGACTATTATTGCCATTTTAGTAGTTTGAGACAAGATATTGTTTAAGAAACAATATATGGATCAGGGGTGCACAACCCTGTTCCTGGAGATCTAGCTTCCTGCAAAGTTCCAACTCAAGCTTCAACCCTGACCAAACAGACCTGAGTCAATTAATTAGGACCTGAACGGCACTTGATAATACAAGCAGGTGTGTTTGATATGGGTTGCAACTGAAATCTGCAGAAAGGTTGATCTCCAGGAACAGGGTTGGTCACCCCGATATAGATAATTCAGTCTGTAAATAACAGAAATTGGACGGGCAGCTTATTACCATGTTTTTGTACTGTAAATTTAGGTTTTTGTAACACCAACGCAGACTAAGGGCCCTATCATACACGTGGCGTAATGCGGCACAAGGCGCAACACAATTGTTGTTTGCTAGTTTCAGCCCGGTGCAAGAGTTGTTTTGACGTGTTGCACTCGGCTGCTTAAATAGCAAATGCATTTGAGCTCATATGTGCGCCCATAGGCGCTCTGTTCTAATAAAGGAGGTGTGTTAAGGTGCATTACTGGCACAATGCTATTTTGAGGAACTAAAATAGACTGCGCAATAGACCAGATCAAAGCAAGTCTAAAGTCCAGCGCAGAGCACGCTAGTTGTGCGCCTCGCTTAAACATTGCTTAATGCACACAGGATGTACATCAATAGGCAAATATCTTTACAAATGAAAATGAATTAAAGGATTAAAATATTACAAATATTATTATTTTGTAGATTACATAAATATAAAAACCACCGCCTCCATGCCTTCTTCATCTCGGGGGGCTTTTTTAGTTTATTCATAACAATTTGCTTTTGTATAATGATATTATTAACAGTATTATTTATTATATGCATATATATATATATATATATATATATATATATATATATATATATATATATATATATATATATATATATATATATATATTTTTTTTTTTTTTTTTTTTTTTTTTTTTATTAAATACAAGCTTAGATTTGCCCACCTGTCAGGATTTGGATCATATGGGGCATAGCATGTGTATTTGGATATAACTAAGGTTTTTGAACACACTTTATTATTATTGTAAATTCATTCATTTGCTGGAAATCAGAACTGAATTTACAAATAGTTTTGTGCAAATACAAATAAATACAAATAGTTACAAATCTTTGTGCTTAATAAACAAAATTAATTATGTTTAGGCTAATGGACCTCTGTGCGTGCAACACTTTACCCTATCCACAAGAGTGAAAGTGTAAGTAAAGAATGAGGAGGCTCATTCTCGCGCTGTAGATGCTCTGTTTAACTGTTTTCTCTTTAGTAAAGCGATCAGTTTTTGCCATGTAAATAGCATATGCGCTATGGCATGACGCAAATGACTCTTAAAGGGAATGGGAAATGAGACTCTGATTGGATTATTCTCAAAACACGCCTCATTAAGAGAAATAGCTCAACCCTGTTAGACCATGCACCATGGCGCAAAGCGGATTTTTCCATCCTTAAAATAGCAAAATTGGATTTCGTCACGCCCTTAATGATTTTGCGCCCTGCACTTTGCACCTGGATCATCAAAATAGAGCCCAATATATCACTTTAAACTAATACAAAATGTCAATAAAAGTCTCTTTTATAAACTTTTCAACATTAAAAGCTTTTAGAGGGAAGATAAGGTTCCATAATGCAATTAAAAAGCACAATTAAGAGGAACAAATCCCAATGAATCACAAAATATGAATAACTGTGAATTTACATTATTTTTTTTTACAGTTTACTGTCTCCAACATTTATGACCAATGTAAACTCACATTATCTGGAAAGTCGGCTTTGAGTTCTCTCACACTCTGGCACCAGTACGCCGCCGTCTTCTCACTGATCAGCTCGATGTTCAAGAAAGATCCTTGACCGGGACCAAATAAGGGACCAGAAGTGCTTCCTCGAACAATTCGTGGAGACACATTAGTAACCAAATCCTGCATGAAGAAAAAAGAAGAGATATTTGTATTTAAACAGCTACCATTAAGACTCCATCATGGGGACGTGACCTTGCACCACCTCCATTAGCAGCTAGTAATTCGCGTACTAGAACAGACCCACAAATCCACATCCTTCCAACAATCCCAACAGACCCCGCTGCTTTTAAAATATGCTCGGCGGCTATAATTTCTGTGTAGAACAACATAAAGAGGACAATTACGGCCATATTCTACAGAAATCCATGACACAAATTCAATAGCGTTATTTCTCCTTCCCTCTCCCACGGGGCTTTGAAGTGGAGCTAAATTCATATTTAATCATACACGTTTGAAATTGTGCCGTGCGGCAGGGAAAATGAAGTCTACTTGAACTACTAAAAAAGGTTTTTTTTAACATTACAAAATAAAGTCATTCATCCATCAGTTCGCACTAATATCTTTCCTTCCTCACACTTTCCCAGACTACATCTTATACATGTACTGTAGCAGAGGCTTGTCTTTTTCTCATAAGTGCCAGCATGCCCGAGAGCCAGGATAGATGTTCTCTGTACTACATTAAGCTGTATTTGAAAAATTCATCTTTTGGCATTAGAGTCCCCGAGGATTCACTGCCAAACTGCTATAATATCCATCACTGATTGGATGTATAGAGTACAGGTCATCCTGGCCGGACAGTAATCAGTCCACACGCTAAATTAGAAGCCAGGCTAATGAAGCTGGCAGAGTCGAGGGGATCGTGGCATCAAGTGAACCGCTATTGGCTAATGGCTTTGGCCCTCGATGTGAGGTTCCAGCAGCGTATAGTCGTATCTTCTGAGTTTTGAGCCAAGAAATCTGTGGTGTCATTTTTCAAATCTGCGTGTAAATGACACATTGAGCTTATATTTGTGTCCTGTCCCTTTAATGCTATGAAACAATATTACTTTGAATGCACACAAGATTGTTGCTATATGTGCGCAGTAAAAAATGCTCGGTTCCAACACAAAGGAATTAAATTAACTTATTTGTGTTTGCAAATTGAAAATAAAACAGTTAAATTGCCCCCCCCAAAAAAAAACTACTCAGGAAATGTGTTGTTTCTACTCATTACTAACAGTAAACGGATGATTTTTGGTTGCTATATTGTTTCAGTTATAACACTATAAAGAACATTTTAAAGAATTTTTGAGGAAGTTTGGTGGAAGTGATGCCATACTGTAGATAAAAGACTTTTGGTTACATGAAGAACATTTCATGGAACCATTTAACACTTTTAAACAACATCTGAAGTAAACAAGCTTTTCATTGGTGCTATTAAACAATATTCGGCCAATGCACAGTTATTTTAAGCAGGAATCTGAGGGTTAAAAAATCTAAACACTGAAAACAGTGAAGTGCTTAACAATGCATATTTTTACTATGTTTATATTAATTAATTAATTTATTTATTACTTAATAAATATAAATGAATATAGGACATAATGGAAATTTCCAAAACATTTTTGTAATACATGATCTTTACTTTATGTTCTAACGATTCTTGGAATAAAAGAAAAATCCAAAAATGTTTACCCATTCAATTTGTTTTTAGTTATTGCCAAAAATTGATCCCTGCATCATAGAAAAACACAATTTGGTGTGAAAATTATCATATATATATATAAATATGAATATATACGCTGGATCCGGAACCTCTGAAATCTGATCCAGCACCTGATTTTACACATCCCCCTCCTCAACTGCCTGCCTCCCCTGTCCGCTGTTCACTTTCACTCTCTTTCTCGACTCCCCACCCCTTTTCATTTTCGTCTGTGACAATCACCCGCTCTTCACTTTTGTCCTTCGTTCACGAGTTATGTTTTTCCCCTCATGAAGGTTTTTGTTTTATTTTTATAAATAATAAACCAATCTCTGTTTTACTGCAATTGACTCCTCACTCCCACAACCATGACATAAAGAGCTTTTTTTTTTTTTTTTACCATTTGTGGAATGTTTCCAAATAATAAGTGGTTCTGATAAAAAACATACAAATAAAGCACCTTTATTTTTAAGAGTTTATGATTTTCTGGGAGCTTAATTCAAATGTTTTAATATTCTACTTAAAAGCAAGGACTCAGATCTACCTTTTAATGTATAAAGGTAACAGCGTAGCACCCTTCCTCAACAAAAAGAATAATTCTCTCTGTCATGGATAAAGAAAAAGACAAGATATGAGCTGACGTTTAATACTGAAGGTTAGGGGTTTGTTCTAATCCATCATTAATTAAAGAAATAGAGGAAGTGGTTTTAATCCAACGTGTCTGAAACCGCGGCGCTGAGAGACCGAGGGGTTAAGAAATTACATTTGCTGTTTCGTCTTTTTCCCTTGCTGTGAAAATTGAACCGATAAACTCAACAGAACAAACAAAAGGGAGTGACAGCTTAATCCTTTGAACTCTGATAAACCATCCATCATAATTTAGCAGTGTGAGAGGACGATTTGCATATCCTAATTAGAACCTACGCCTTTACAGAACAATTACAATAATGCAATGGAACTTCATTTTACAACATTTGAGGAGTTTCCAACCCCCCCCCCACACACACACACATAGCATACATTTGATTTAGAGGCTTCAAATGTGTGACTTGTTTTTCTGCAATAATCATTACACATTTGTTTATTTTAATTATTAATATTATTATTTTTATATAGGTTTATTTACTTGCTGTGCTTGCAAGTAATTAAATCATCTTTAAAACTGCCCATACTTGTCCTTTAGGGATTTCAACAAACTTTCGCATTTAAATATGTGCATAAAGTTTGTATTACATGCTATTTGTTGGGTAGAGCTGTGAACAGAATTACTGTATAATCTTTACCTAAAGAACAATAATAAATAAATAAGTTATTAAAAAAATAAATTAACACACAAAACAAACAAATAAATAAATAAAATAAATATTTAATAAATAAACAAAAATAATAAAATAAATAAAAACACACAAATAAAAAATAAAACCACAAATAAATAAATACATGAATAATTAATAAATAAACAAAAATAATCAAATAAATAAAAACAAACAAATAAAAATACAAATAAACAAAGATATAAACACAACATAAAAAATAAATAAATAAACACACAAATAAATAAATAAATGCCATTTAAAAAATCATAAATCTAGGTAAGATTAAAGTAAATAAATAATTAAGCTTAATTACAGTTTAACACCTTTAACAAAAATTTATATGAAATGGTAATTATAAATGAAGAATTGGAAAGAAATGGTGAGTAGAATGCATTTTATTGTAAAATATTGTTCAATAATCATTATTTACAGTGGTATTTTCCGCATGTTTATAACTGAATTATAATCTGTATAATGATAATAATAATAATAGTAGTAGTAGTATAGAAAAAAAAAATAATAATAATGATGCCTAATAATAAATACACAATGAATTAAACAGTCATAAATATTTATTGTTTAATATTACACAATAATTATTATATAAAATAATATTAAAATTACATTTATAACAATTTTATACAATTTAAATTTCTTCTTTGTTATTAATATAATTGTTTTTATGGCTAGTTATTAACATTATTCTTTTAGCATTAGAGCTAGAATAAAGCATTTTATTTTACAACAAATGCTAACCACGTTAAATAATAATAGTAATAATAATAATAATAATACAAAAAATAATAATAATAATAATAATAATTATTATTATTATTATTATTATTTATATATTATAAATTATAACATATAATAAATAAACCTGGAAAAAGTGTGAATATGTTCTGCCTCCAATGTCCTTCTAATTATTTATGTAAATTATTAAGTACTGGTTATTATCCACTTTATTTCAGCATACACTACCATACAGAAAACATCAAATCTAGAATACACACATTGCCTACAAGTCATAATCTTTTTTTTTCCTTTGAATTTCAGTGTGTCAGTGATAACAAGATGAGTCTCTTTCAGGACAAAAGACTGACAGATTTCTTCAAATCTATTCAAACATGCAAGTGTCTGATTGGAGCGTGGGATTCAGTGTGTGTTTTACAAGTGACATTTTCACACACGACTCGTGGTTGAAGATGAAGACGTTTCCTCTTGTTTAATGAAAGTGTGGCGGCCCTCCAGTGAACACTCAGGGAATTCAGACAGCACATCCCATGAGCTGGAGGCCAATCTCTAAGTCTATATTTAATGAAGCCATGACCGGGGAACATTTGGCTGCTGGCGCTTTGGATTATCAGGCGAGGGTGGAACAAGACGTTTAATATTAAGCAACTAGAAAGCATGAAAATTACCCAAAGACAGAGGTCTGGCATGCTGAAACAGGTGCCGCACGCAGCGATAAGACACGCACGCGTACACACGCTCGCTTTTCCCATTCTCTCCTTTTCCAGCATGCATCTCAATGCAAATTGGATTCCCAAAGATGAGTGCCGATGGACACGAGACGTAAATTCATTCCTCGGCGCAGACCGTAGTGTTAATATGCATGACTGCCAGCAGCCATTGGAGGACGGGATCAAACCTGCCTAGGATGGACACGTCATCTGGGTTTCGGTTTCAACCTGCAGTTGGGTTCAAATGTCTGAGAACGCTTTGAAAATGTGTATTTTTGACTTTTAAACGATGTTGAGATGAATACAAATTTCAGAAATTTACTAGTGATTCTTTTCATGCACTGGTACTCATTCGGACTGGTTTTATGAAATAAATCAAATTGGTGCTATTCATAAATTAATCCATGAGGCTGGTTTTAAGAATCAGTTATTTTGAGAATCATTTGAATTAACTATTATATTATTTTGGATCATCTGGTACAGTCTGATTCAAGAATCGAGAATCAAATCCATTCAAACAATGCACAAATCATGTGATTGAGTGAACCTACAGTGGGGTTTAAATGTCTGAGAATGCTTTGAAAATATGGGAGTTCTTCTTATTTTATAGCTTTGAATGATATTAAGATAATAGAAACTAAAAAATAATATTTCAGAATT